CAAATTAACTGGACATGCAGGAAACCCCAGACCCCCAAAGTCCATCCAAGTTCCTACCATCCGCATTCAAACCCTCAGACCTAAATAGCGAAAATAGAAACCAAAGTATTCCATTATGTTGTGAACACTGGCCCCTTCCCGATGTACGGTAAGTTAGGATGCACAGATGGTGTGCAGGCGCCAGCTGATCAAATCTGCTTCCAAGAGATGTGGCCAATTAAACACTGAGCGCTTTCGTTTAGCCATTGTGTCGCTGCTCAATTCGAGACGCTGAGGTGATCACCATTTCTGAGATCCATAATCACATGGTGGTCAGAAACTCATTCAGTTTGAGGTGTTTCTGCTTCTATCGGCAGCGGCTGCTAGAACTGTCTGTGAGGTTCCTCGTGGGAGCGTGTTTTTGGGGTCGCAGATACATCGATAAATACATACAATGATAGAAACTTGAAAATAAATATGCAAAATAAAAGTGCAGTGCTCTCTACTGTCATACAGCCAACAGCTTTTGAGAAGTATTGTGAGTGCTGGATTATGGGGAGCGCTAGAGGACTTTTTTTCGCTTTTATTTTTATGAGAAGGCACGCTGGCAGGATGGCTAAAGCTGTGTATTTGAGTTTATTTCAGTCGTGTGTATATATACATAAATTGACTTCTCTGGCTGTTCATGTCAAGTTCTCAGGATCCAGCATATGGCATCCTGACCCCTGATGTAGTTGAATATGAGCGGTTTTGTGTGGTACCATGACACGGGTTCTATGATCTGTTTAGTGTTTTCTAATGAGTGTTTCCCAACCCTGTTCTTAGAGGCACACCAACAGTTCATACTTTGGATGTCTCCCTCAGATTACTCGCAGGGCTGTTTAAATCAAAGTTGATATTTAGCCATGCCATGTTGGTGTTTCATATCATCTCATTTTTATGAGGTGAATCGTTAGCACCACACTCAACCCCCAACCTGGAGAACCAGGACATACACACACACTACGGAGAATTTAGCTTACCCTATTCACCTATAGCGCATGTCTTTGGACTTGTGATGGAAACCGAAGCACCTGGAGGAAATCCATCCATCCATCCATCTCATCCATCCATCCATCTTATCCATTCTACTGTCCATCCATCCATCCATCCATCCATCCATCCATCCATCCATCCATCCATCCATCCATCTTATCCATTCTACTGTCCATCCATCCATCCATCCATCCATCTCATCCATCCATCCATCCATCCATCTTATCCATTCTACTGTCCATCCATCCATCCATCCATCCATTCATCTTACCCATTCATCCATCCAACCATCTTATCCATCATCCATCCCTCGAATTGTCCGTCGGTCCACCCAATCATCTATGCATCCATCCATTCATCCATCCACCCATCCATCCAGAGCACCCAGAGGAAACCCACACCAACATGGGAAGAACATGCAGACTCCACACAGATATGCCAACTGACCAAGCTGAGGCTTGAACCAGTGACCTTCTAGCTATGAGGCAACATCGCTACCCACAGTGCCGCCCCCCTCCCTCATCTTAACCATTCATTTTAGGTTTTAGAATCTCTTCTAATTATGTGATGAGCTGGTTCAGCTGTGTTTGATTAGGAAAAGTTGGGAAATGTGGACTGTTGGTGTGCCTCCAGAGACAGAGTTGAGAAACACTGCTCTAATGATTGTCTTAAATTTTCCTGTTTTAATTCATTTTAAAGGAGATAGATGTAACTTGGCCACCATGACTTTTTAGGAGGATACTACATGCTAGAGTGCTTAGCATGTCATGAATTTTTACATGCAGGGCCACAAATGAACTTTTGCCAAGCGCAAATGAAAATAAATTGGCTTTGGCGCAGAAATGAAGCGGCCAGATGGTTGGTAATCTTTTAACAATTTTAGCTAAGTATCATAAAAAGACCAATTTGTTCTTTTATTGTGGCGGTTTCAGAAACGTGAGGCCATTTTATCGTTTAAAGCTGTAAAACAAAACCAAATTATTACAAAATCAAGATTTTGACATGGGGCATTACGCAGGCTTACTGTTGCTTAATGTAATGTCCTGCAGGGGTTTCTCCAAATGTATAGATTTACAAGGAATACAAGAAACAGATAAAACTGGTAAAACTAACCCAAATGCCACCAAAACACACACAAAAAATCAACAACATAAAATGCTGGGTTGTCGTGTCATTTGAATTTAATTAAGAGTTATCTCAATATCGGGTTTTCCATATTTGTTCCAATGTTGGTTTATGGCAACCCAAAATTGTTTAGAGGGCGTCTTATGAAGAGGATCGATGTGTTTAAAATATTTCACATTTTTAAATGATAAAACTTTAATCACTGACTGCTGCTGGATGCACATTCTTGAAATCTTGGCTGACCTCTGACTTGATGTATATGATGTAAGACGCATTAGCAGTGGAAGACATAGTAATACTAATAGTCTTTTATACAGTAACACCACGTGAACTAGATTTGTTGGTCATCGTCATCTTCTGTGGTAAACAGACTATGAAATAAGTCCATGAATAAGTCTTACGTGATGTTTCATACACAAAAAAAGTGTTTGCTATTTGTTCAAACTACCAATTTAAGTGAGCTGAATTAATATGATTCTTGTTTTTTTACAAACTTAAGTTCAATCCACTTTGTCCACAAGTTTGTAAAAACTAGCAAGTTAACTTGATTGCTTCATGTTGTCCTAACACAAATCAATTAGGAGGGCCAGCATTTTTTAAAGTGTATTTTAAGTCCGAATTCAGCCAACAAGTTGCATTTAGCAGCCAGCAAAAGAAAACGATTTAACTTCATCATTTAAACATGTGAAATATTTTGGTTACAAGCACACATAGAACTGCTTTATAAGACGTGTTAACCCCGATGGCATATGGGGCAGATTTACAACAGATTTGTGCACTTTTGGAGGCTTCAGATAAGTGGCCACTACCCAAAACCATTTTACAGCATGGAAGAGCAGTGATCAAATTTAAAACTGCTCACACTGTGTTCATCTGAAAGAAGAAAGTCATATACACTGAGAACAGCTTGAGGATAGTTAAATTCATTCATTACTTTATTTTATGTTGCTTTTCCTGGGCCGGGTCGTGGGGGCAGCAGTCTTAGGAGAGAACCCCAGAGTTCCCTTTCCTCAGACACTCCCTCCAGCTCCTCCAGGGGGACCCCAAGGCGTTCCCAGCACAGCCGAGAGACCCTTCAGCGTGCCCTGGGTCTTCCCCGAGGTGAGAGATGCCTGAAACACCTCCCTAGGTAGAGTTCAGGAGGCATTTGAAACAGATGCCCGAGCCACCTCAGCTGACTTCTCTCAACGTGGAGGAGCAGCGGCTCTACTCCGAGCTCCTCCCGGGTGACAGAGCTCCACACCCTTTCTATTAGGGTGTGCCCTGCCACCCTGTGAAGGAAACTTATTTGGCCACTTGTATCCGAGATCTTGTCCTTTTGGTCATGACCCGAAGCTCATGACCATAAGTTAGAGTAGGAACGTAGATTGACTGGTAAATCAAGAGCTTTGCCTTTTGGCTTAGCTGCTTCTTTCCCACAACGCACTGATCCATCGACCACATTACTACTGCACCAATTCCACCTGGATGGTTGAATTAAGGGGCCATTTTAATTTTTGGTTAAACTATTTCTTTAATATTGTTTAATGGCTGCAGCTCTTTTTTTGAAGTGTTGCAAATGGTAATTTTATACCCTGGCTACATGTACTGTACATATGTGTGCGTGTTACAATTTCAGCTAGCACTAATTCATACTTGTTTTGACAGATTATATTGAAGAAATCTTGAAACTGGCTAAATCTGACGGAGGACAGATATTTCCCAAGGTCTCCGTGCTAACCTAATATGCAACTGGTGGTTCTGGCTAGTGAATGTGTTAACTGGCTCGAGACAATCTGGAGCAAACAAGTGAAGTATGATGGAGAATGTGTTGTGACAGCTTCATTCATTTGCCAAGTTTGGAAATTCAAAAAGCGAACTTAACTCACAAAGTGGGTAATTAGTAGAGTACAAACATTGTTTTGGTAATACAGAGATAAGAAACACCACCTGACAGTTCTTGTAGTCTGTGCATGATCAGTGCACAGCTATGCAAGGTAATCAGTGCACTTTCATTTGTTATATTAAATTCCCCTATAGCAAGGGGATTTATGGCCGCAGTGGGATCCGTGCCAATTGGGTCACTATGATGCATGTGAAGGTCATATAATGCCTTTAGAAGAGGAACTTCATCAAGTTGTGCTCAGAGAAGAGTAATTGGCTGGTATCAGGTACTGGTGTGCTGCCATGCAGTGAATATCAGTGGCTGTTTCAAAAGCATAGTGAACTGCCTCAATACATAGGCAGCTACAATCTAAATTTAAATCTAACCAAAGCTCATAAATGACTGAAAGGATTAACAGCTGTCCTTCCTAAAACCCCCAAATCAAGTAATCTAACCACTTGTGCACAATGGATTTCAAATGAGCTTGGCATTAGCATGTTGCTAAGCTAATATCTGACCCAATACATCAGTACACGCAATATTAGGCTTAATATTTTTCTTTCATTAATAATTACATGCAACTGTTCATATCAATATTTCTAGCAGTTGAAAGTTCTGTTAGAATTAGCTTAGCATCATGCTAAAATCAGACTAATAAAGGCTACTACGAATGAAGATGTGTTTAAGCTACTTTGAAAGTGAGAATATATTGGTTTGTAATGAGAGTTCTGTGCTCTAGACCAGGGGTGCCCAAACTCGGTCCTGGAGGGCCGGTGTCCTGCATAGTTTAGTTCCAACCCCAATCAGACACACCTGGGCTAACTAATCAAGCTCTTACTAGGCTTTCTAGAAGCATCCCTGCAGGTGTGTTGAGGCAAGTTGGAGCTAAAATCTGCAGGACACCAGCCCTCCAGGACTGAGTTTGGACACCCCTGCTCTAGACCATAGGTGCCAAAACTCGGTCCTGGAGGGCTAGTGTCCTGAAGAGTTTAGCTCCAACCCTAATCAAACACACCTGAACCTGCTAATCAAGCTCTTACTAGATATACTAGAAACTTCCTGGCAGGTGTGCTGAGGTAAGTTAAACTCAACAGGACACCGGCCCTCCAGGACTGAGTTTGGACACCCATGTTTTAGTACACCTTAAAAGACTTTGATTAGCTGTTTCAGATGGGTCTAATTGGGGTTAGCACTAAATATGCAGGATATCAGCCCTCCAGGACCGGGTTTGGGCACCCCTGCTCTAGACCTTGGAATTACAATTTAACCTCAACCTAAAAGCTTCATCAGACCGCTGCAACATAATGTGCAAACAGTCAAAATGGTTCTATCTATGAAGAATAGATGGCATTCATGTAGCATGTGTTTCTTGTGTGGTTTTAGCAATTTAACGGGTGGGACAATCCTGGGTTGCATTTGTAACTAGCTCACACTGCGATCTGAAATTCTGGCCAAACAATGTACCTTTAAAGATAACCCATTTAGATGTCTACTTTTGGAGCATGGGATAACTAAGCTGTCTGATTAGGCAGCTCACTAAGTTTTGGAACAGAGCCACAACTTGTGTAGTTATAAGAGTGTCATCCTAATGGGAAAGCAATCAATTCGGTATGGAGGTTTGTTGGGGACATTGCAGTTAGCCCAGTTCACCACTCCCTTATTTGCTAAGTCAGCTAGTCATCTTTATTCAGTCTCTCACAGTGGTGGTCCTTCTTCATCTATGAAGCTGATATGCTCTGTGCTGGGCCTCCCTGCTGTTGCTGCCCACTCTTGCATTTCAATCTCTAACTGGGGAGGTCCCGGGACGGTGTTCTGCGGCAACCATGAAGGGCCAAAAGAGGCCTGTGTTTCTGGCAGGGAGTCCAGAGAGCAGGGCAAGGGTGGAGATGTGTGTGGACAAGAAGAAGAAGGAGGAGTGCATGCCCGTGGCTGGATGCGAGAGGAGGAAGGGGACGAGGGGAACTGGCTGAAACCCACCCTTTGGTCTCCTGGGGAGTTATTGATTGAGGGTGGGGCCGAGCAATGTGAGAGTGGTGGATTTGGGTTGTCCAGTGAGGGGGGCTGAGGTAGCAAACCTCTGCTGTGACTGGCAGGTCGGTGAGGCCCCTGGCAGGGGGAGCAGGAAGAAGACTGGGAGCGGAAAGATGGCAGTGAGTATGAAAAGGTTAAAGATGGAGAAGGGGGCTGATTGGCTTGTGGTGGCTGGTTTGGAGCTGCCTGGGTGCCAGGCCCCTCAGTTTGGGCTGTCACTGGAGAAATGAGGACTGGCAGGGAAGGCCCTCTCGAACAGCCTGTTGGAGACACCTGAACCTGTGCATGGGGTCTCAGTGGTGGGCTGGTGGGTAGGAGACAACTGGGTAAGCCAATGCTCCCGGTGTCTGCGCTGTCCAATAGGGAGCAAGTTGGCCTGAGTGGCGTGGATGGTGAGGCTGTGGGTGAAGGAGCTGGTGGCGTGGGTATTGTTGGACCACTGCAACTGCTGGGAGACTGAGGCATTGTTGGACTGAGGGCAGTCAGGAGGGTTTGAGATCCCATGACAAGTATGGGCCGGAGGAGACGTGTCATTTCCTGTAGCTCTTTGCTCAGCTGAGAGACTTGCTGGGATAGACTAGTCATCTGTGAATGAGATCAACAGAATGCAAGTAAATGCGCAAATACAATCAGACTGGTGTCCTTTATTTAGAGCCATTCCTGCAAATCTGTCAATTTCATACACTGAAAAACCCAACAGCCAACTTTATCTAATGAAATGAGTGTAGTTAACTCAAAATTGACTAAAGGTTAATTCTACTCATTTGAAAAGAGTTTTGAACTCAGTGTTGAAGGTAAGGAGTTAATTAAATACCTCATAACTTCAACTTAAATTAATTAAGTACACGGTACTCATAAAGATGAGTTTTTCAACTCGAATGGTTTGTAGCAATCGGTTTCCTCTAATGGTTTGAGTTGCCTTAACTTATTGAGTGTTACAGTACTGAGTTTGAATTCTCTTTGTTTATTGGGTTTTACTGTGCTTAAATTGCTTTATTTACTCAAATTCATTAAGTTCACAGTACTAATTAATAGTAGTTTTTGAAGTTGGTTTGTTGTAATTGGTTTCCTCAAACAGTTTAAGTTACCTTAAATTTTTGGGTTTTACAGTGTATAAATGCACTAATACCCATAAATAACATTTTAGTTACAACATGATGATTAGTGTGTCAATACCAAAACTTGGAGGCACACTGCACAGTAAAACATTGTCCAAGACAGCGATTTCCTTGTAGATGTTTTAGACAAATATCACTTACTGTTTTACATTTTCTTTCTTTTAATAGCATTTTACTAGGAATCAGGGCCTTGATCATCCTGACTGGGTTAAGTTTGCAAACGATGACCGGTCAACTCTATATTATCATGTACTTACTAAACAAAGAGGTCTTATTTGATGCTGTAGTGCAGCCTTTTTACAAAAAAATCAATAAGCCACTTTTCTAACACCCTTTAAAAGTGGTAAAAAATCAATGTAATGCATGGCCTCTAGTGGCTTATAGCTTTTGGTAGACCTTGTTGTACTTTTAGAAGGAGGTTTTTAGTGATATAAACTGCATGTGCAGTGGTGCAGAACTCCAGAATTTGAGAGTCTATAACGGTGGTGTCCAAATTCAGTCCTGGAGAGCTTAGCTCCATCCCTAATCAAACACATCTGAACCAGCTTATCAAGCTCTTACTCTTACTTACTTGGCTGGTGCATTGAAGCAAGTTGGAACTAAACTCAGCAGGACACCAGCCCTCCAGGACCGAGTTTGGACACACCTGGTCTATAACCAGACTAACTCTGGTCTCTCATGATTTAGACCAATGAGCTTGCCTCAACTACTCAATTTTGAATACTATGCAAACATATTTAAATGTATTTCATACTTAAAATATTTTATTTTTTTGTCATTTGTATTTGCTATTCTTGATTGACTTACCTCCTCACTCAGTTTGGTGATGCTCTGCTTTGACTCCAGCTGCTCTTGGCTCACTGCAGACAAATCCACACAAACAGTTGAAGTCAGAATTAATAGCCCCCCTGAATTATTAGCCCCCGTTTATTTTTTTTCCACACATTTATAATCATAATAATTTTAGAAACTCATCGCTAATAACTGATTTTTTTTATCTTTGCCATGATGACAGTAAATAATATTTTGCTAGATATTTTTCAATACACTTCTATACAGCTTAAGGTGACATTTAAAGGTGTAATTAGGTTAATTAGGTTAACTAGGCAGGTTAGGGGAATTAGGCAATTTATTGTATAACGATGGTTTGTTCTGTAGACTATCAAAAAAAAAAAAAAAGAAAATAGCCTAAAGGTGCTAATAATTTTGACCATAAAAAGGTTCATAAAAAAATTAAAATTGCTTTTATTCTAGCCGAAATAAAACAAATGAGACTTTCTCCAGAAGAAAAAAAAAACATTTTCAGACTTACTGTGAACATTTCCTTGCTCTGTTAAACATCATTTGGGAAATATTTAAAAAAGGAATAAAAAAATCTAATAATTCTGACTTTAACTGTAACAATTCCATTTGCATACATCTTATCTGCTACAGTGAATTCTTCAGAGAAAGAACTAGATTTGTCAAAGTTTGTGAAGTTCAAGGTGTGGCATCAAAACTAATGAAGACATATCACCACGGAAATAAAAAGAAAGCTTTAATTTTCAGCTTATATATGACTTTACATGTACCACCACATTAAAAATAGCTGGCAGCTCTAAATATTGGTCAGATGGTCCCTTCCTGTCTAAGTGGGCGGTTCTTGGCCAGAATAAGCTGCAGGAGAAGTCTGACTGTGCAAGACAGTCTATTTTTGGAAATATCACTTCATGTTCCCTCCCAGAAATCACATTCTGACTTGACGCTGTGTTTGTACCTGGGGAAGGGGATGGAGGGCCACTCTGAGGTAGGCTGGGACCGAACTCAAACCTTTGTGTTGAGCTGGAATTGCTTTCTGTTTCTATGCCGTCCACGAACCTGCAGAGACATCATAAAACATGCATCATGGCTTTTTGTGCACAACTGACCAAGACCTGTTAAGAATCAATGCATCATCAGCTACATAATATATAACAAAAATGGCTAGATAGAAATGGACTCCATTACTTTCTGCTTGTTTAATTGCAGCTTTAGATAAGCCTTGATTTCTTAGGGTGAAATTGAAAAGCCAATCATTAGAGCAAGCAGAGATTTCACCAAAAATGGTTGTCATGGTAGCTGGATACTTCTTCTAAATTATGAATCAATAAAGTTCTGATAAGAGCCACCAGAGGGCTGCAGATGGTTGTGGATGTGATGGGAGATGTGTATGTGTGTGTGTGTGTGTACCTGGGGCTGAGTTCTGGAGGGGCGCTGCTGAAACTGACCACAGGGATCTGGAGGGTGGCGGGTCGCATGCTCTCAGATGGAGCACGGAAGGGTCGGGGGGGAAGGAGGGGTGATCGCAAGGGGGAGCTGAGGGCCCTGGTCAGACGAAGAGGTGAACGTGGGGCCCTTGACACAGAGTTCTGCTCTTCATCATTCTCCTCATCCTCACGGATAGCAGGCAGTTTCTTCACCAGACCACCATTACTTTCCCAGTCCAGCTGAGAGAGAAAGAGTGAGTTTAGTTCTGCAAGTGTCTATATGGAATTAAATACAGCCTTTTTTTTTATTTATATACAACACATTTAAAAACACTTGTGTGTACCAAAGACCAATACTAAGATTAAAAAGCAGGAACTTAACAACACGTAACTAATAGAAAGGACTGTACACATTAAATAACATACAAATCTATCAAATGCCATGGAGTACTAATAAGTCTTCAACTAAGATATAAAACTCTGTCTGAGGTAGTCTGTTCCAGTATCTAGGACTAGCTACTAAAAAAGGACGCTTCGCTTTCAGCTTCAGGAGTGTGCGAGGAATGTGCAGAAGTTGTTTGTTTGAGATGATTGCTAGTATCTCAGAAGCTCGGCCAGACAAGCGGGGGTTACTCCATCACACCAAATGCAATTAATAAAAGATTTTGACATATATAAGTTGAAAGTGGCTTGGGTGATACTTCATCCAAAATAATATTGGATTTTCCTAAAATATAAGTGTACAACCTTGCTCCTGGAGAGCCAGTGCTTGGCAAATCTTTGCTATAATAGCTCCAGCTCTGAAAACCTTGGTTCAGGTGTGTTTAATTAGTATCAGGGCTACACCCTGCAAGACAGTGTCCTTCCAGGATCAGATCTGGAAAGCCCATTGTAAACATTAGATCTCATTAATACTTGTGTGAATTATTTAGTATTTATAGGCACACAGCCTGCCTATTACAAAACCAGGATACATGTATTCATTCTTAACTATTCTTATATTAGTTAATTTTGAGTGTTTCTTAGCCAAGTATACAAGCTTGGTCATTGGCAAATAACAGACCCATAGCATATCTATAGGGGTTTTAATTATGTTATTTATTACTTGTCAAATGGGGCTGCTTTCTACAAGCAAACTCTTAAACTCTCTGTGTGCCATTATTAAAGCCAGTTTAGACTCAGATAACAGAATTC